TGCATGTGAAAATAAATCAAATTTAGTTTTTGTCTTGATCCCATCCACCATTTTTTGGACTGTGGTCTCCAGACATGGCTCAAAGGCCAAGTACACCCCTCTGTCATGCACCCCTGTCCTAATGAACAGTTCCTAATATTTTAATGCAGGGAAAGCAATTACCTAAAAGTGCTTTGCAAGCAACAATTCAACAAGGGAGAGATCCACATCACTAGCAACCATCTCCATTTGTACCAATTATTGTGCATCTACTACTCTTCAGAGCCACATATTTTGCTGCTGTTGCTATTTTGTGGCTGCTTTGGCCTTCGTGTGGGAGAGACTGTTATTTTAAGGCAGAATTGCCACCTAGCCTTGCCTTCTGTATTTTTCTCAGTGAATTGGAACAAAACTGTTCATAGCACTGGAGCTTAAATGATGCTATGATAGGTAGTGAATTATTGTTGATGATGTTGTTATGCTTTGTCTTGAATACTTGGAATGTTAATGTATATTAGAGATAGAGATAGAGATAGAGATAGTGGCAAAGACTCTCATACCATTTCTGACAGTTCCATGAGTCTTTAAGTGGTGCAGATGGAAATGGACTGGAGCTGCAATATTGGATGGATCTTAATATGTCCACAATGTTCTTAAGAAAATGTCTATGTAACAATGCGTTGCATTTATATGCTCATTCTTACCATTTCCCCAGGAGTGATTATACTGCTAAATTAGACTGGCTGTAGATATTCTTGTCTGTTTTGTCACTCATCCCCTCTGCTATATTTCCAGTGTTCAACCTATGAGTGCTGTATCTTTCAGAGCTCAGATGCACCAATGAACTAGGGAAGGTATCAGTGAACCTGGGAAACCTGAGGCATGAAATAGTTAAAAAAAAATATTTGGGAATAAGAATCCTAGAGGGAGACAATGCTCTAAAACTGTGTTTTTCAAATTTGGCAATTTTAAGATATGTGGACTTCAACTCCCAGAATGCTGGCTGGGGAATTCTGGGAGTTGAAGTCCATACATCTTAAAGTTGCCAAGTTTGAAAAACACTGCTCTAAAAGGTGCTTCAGAGTGTATTCTGGGAGTTGAAGTCCATACATCTTAAAGTTGCCAAGTTTGAAAAACACTGCTCTAAAAGGTGCTTCAGAGTGTATTCTGGGAGTTGAAGTCCATACATCTTAAAGTTGCCAAGTTTGAAAAACACTGCTCTAAAAGGTGCTTCAGAGTGTTCCAGAAGGGTGATTGCTGAGGGCGAGGGAGGCATAAAACTGCTTGGGAGAATGTTGGGGGAGAGGGAAAGGCTCAGTTATAGGAACAAGGAACAGGAGCCTTTCATGTTCCAGCATTTAAAAAAAAAAAACAGCAAGAAGTATCTGTTGTATCCCACACCAGCTGTTTATAAATACCACATACTCCATTTTATTGTTACATGTCCTACTGGAAAGCCGCGGGGTAATTGTTACCCATAACCCTTGTTTAAATAATACAATAGGATGACAAGAAGTTTTAAAGAAAGACTAGAGTTTATGTGCTGGCAGGCAGCAGTAACAAGGGCATTTTTAATGGATTCGGCATAGCAGAGTTAGCTTGGGACTATACTAATGTTTCCTGCATCTTATTACTTCTGAAGACATGCAAAGTCTATAGTGGCAGGGTCACTTCTAATAGTCCTTGTGTTTCTGAAAGGGTAATGGAGTTACAATGTTGGTTGCACGCTAAATGGAATGACAATCATACTGTTTCCAACCCTTACTCTGCTTCTCAGAGCAGTGCTTCAGAAGGGACTGGTCTGACATTCCATAGAAAGATTAGTTTTGCACTGAGAGCTTACAGAGAAAGGTGGCAATCTCAGCACCCAAGTCAATCTCATTGGTCACATGCGAAAACTCATTACATGGCAGAGGGTCCACTGCCAAGCTCAGAGGACCTGCTGCTGCTGCTTCTGTTTAGCTGCACTCTCTTGAGTGTTGAGTCATGGCACGAGTAAGGAGAGGCAGCTTCCACTTGTTTATCCTCTTCTTATAGGTGCTAGTGAAAATCTGGTAGAGGGCAAGACCAAGTGAGTAAATAATTATGAATTGGATCTAGGCATGAGCTGAAGGAGTCTTGGCCAGGATCTTCTAAAAATGGGAAGTGTAGGAAGAGGCTGCTGCTGAATGGAAATCCAGGAGGACTGGCTTCTGTGTTCTAACCTATAGACCCTGGGAAGCTATTTTACCAATAAAAGAGTATTGGCTGTGCAACTTCTTTGGCTTATGACTTGCAGTACTGTCCTGTGCCTGAGCTTTTTTTCCCCCTTTTTTCCCCCTCGCAAAGTGGACAGATTGCTTAAACAAGCTATCTCTTCCTGAGCAGCTTTTCTCTGTGGTGTGGTGTTTCCCTAATAAGCGCTAACCACAAGTTAACAAGCTCTGCTCTGTGACCTTAATTAGTTAATTAGTACCCTCTGGCATGGCTGGTGCTGCTGCCTGAAACTGACAAGATCCCTGCCTTGACCTTAATACATTAGGAGCTGACGGCTTTTGCCTCCTGGCCAGCTAGTGGCTTGGAGCCGCAAGTGCGCTATGCAAACAGCTGGCACTCTTGCATTCTTTTCAATGTGAATTTCCTATTGTTTGCCTGTTTAGTTGCTTGTAATTTCTTCCTCTCCAATGAATGTAAATATAAACATTAATTCCTTTCTTGTTAATCACTCCAGCTCCATGGTGAGCATTCCAAAGGGTGGAATAGAAAGCGTGCTCCACAAAACTGATTTTCTCATGAGTCAGATTCTGGAGATTGTCCTTGCCACTTCGGCTCATCGTGGCAGATTGAGGAAGGACTCCTGGTGCTGTGGGTATATTCAGGGACATTTTCTTAAACTTCCTTAAAAATTTGTTGCCGTCCTGGCATTTCTCATGGTGTTTTTGTTCTTTGGTATTTGTCCTGAAAATTGTAAATTAAACGTCAACGCACAAATTAGTGGCAACGAATGCCTGCTGGCAAAATCAATGGATAGTAATGGTTTTGAGAATGCACCTGACCTGCCAGAAACTATGCAGCTGTTTGAGACAGTATGATCAAAATATATCCTTACTGGTGTTTCAAAGGGTCCTGAAGATCTGGCTCTTTGCCCAGGCCTTTGGTGAGTGTGACTGAAGCCCCCCTTTCTTCTTTCTTCTTTGTTCCCATCTGTTTTTTTTTTTTTTTTTTTTCCTACCCCTTTTTTTTTTTTTTTTTTTTTTTTTTTTTTTTTT